TCCGTCCCCGTATGGAAATGATGTTAGCAACGTCCTCCTCACGGCGGAATACCAGACAGCCAACCGCTTCCACTTCAAGGTTGGGGTTTGTTTACTTGTTAAAAAATCCTTTTGAAATGTTCTCCTTCTCTACTGGATGGCGGCCGCTACTACAAAGGAGAAGGGTTGACTATGCAGGTGTTTTTCCTGATGCCATTATTCTGACTTAGCGCCCATGTGTTGAAGGCATCCATGGCTTTCTTTTAGAGCTGCGCCTTCCTAGTGACGATCGAGAGTGTTCAATGCTTGAATGTGGTGCTACAAGCTGTGCACTCACAGCAGGCACAGTGTGTCTGGATCAGTACCAGTGCCCCCGCTCTGTGGTCACAGATACCTAGAGCTCTGGTATTGGTGGTGGGGTTCTGATTTGAAAAGAGGGATTTCTCATTGTGGTTTCTTTCCCTTTGGACAGCTAACTGACCCACAACAGAAGAGGTATGAAGTACCCCATGAGCATGTGAAGCCCTTTCAAGGAAATGCTCCCTCTTCCACCAACTATGAAGTTCAAGTCTCCCAACAGCAATTTAGCATCAAAGTGATCAGAAAAAAATCTGGCCGTGTTCTGTGAGTTTTGAAAACTTGTCTGGGGAGTCAAGCAGGAGAGTGGCGGGGGTTGGGTTGGGGGAAGGGAGGTTTGCAGGCCTGAGTGTACGGTGCATTTCACTGATACTCCCAAAGGTGGCGAGTCTGCTGTTGGGGACCAGATGCACCTCCAAGTAGATGCAGTTTTCTGCCTTCCTCCCCCTTCCTCCCTCCTGTTTACTCACCCCCCTCTTTATTTTTCGCTTTGTTCTATTCTAACCACTTACCTACCAGCAACTACTTACGGAAATCTACTGTGACACTCTTTGGTCATGTGGAAGGATGTCTGGGAGACAGATTGAAGATACGTGCCACTTGGTGCCTCCTGATCTGGTGTCCATGGCACGATGTCACAGGCGGGCAGAGGGGTGGACGAAACAGTCATGTTGAGTCACTTTCTAAGCAGCTGTGTTCTCTCCCGCCCGTCCGCCGTCTGCATCTAGGTTTGACTCGAGCATCGGGCCTCTTCTGTTTGCTGACCAGTACCTGCAGCTCTCCTTCCGGCTGCCGAGCGCCAACGTGTATGGCCTGGGGGAACATGTGCACCAGCAGTATCGGCACAGCATGGACTGGAAGACCTGGCCCATATTCACCAGAGACACGACTCCCACTGGGGTGAGCTTTCGGGAAGGGCCCTTCGCTCCTGATATCACAGCTCGTCCTCAACGCCTCCCCCGGCAACATGTGGTTAGAAATAAGAACCACTTGGGTGACGTAGAGCATGCGACCTCTCCGTGGGTCCAGCTCCTCATCTGGTCGAGGCGGTAATAGACTTATCTCATCGGACTGTGGTGGGAGCTACATCCACATCCACTGTCCAGAGCGTGTCCACCACGCAGGGCGTGCTCAGTAAATACCAGGCTGCCTTCCGCTGTCTTTTCCTTCTGGACCCAGGAGTAGTGGCGAGAGCACCATGCATAAGGACTCTGCCAGTGTTCGCTGGGTCTCCAAATTTTAGGTTGACTCCTGATGAAACACCAGTTTCACGGGTTTACCAGCAAACGAGGGTATGATATCACTTAAAATACTCAAAGACATTTTTTGTGTGAAGAATGTCTAGGGCAGTGAAATAGGAAAAGGGGTAGAATTTTGTGGGTGTTATTGCGTCGTGTTTTGATGGCCAAAGCCCAAAGCAGTTGTTTTCTAGGCTCAGCAATACTTGCAGGTCTTGTTAAACAACTTTCAAAGGTGGTTCTAATTTATTAAGTGACTATTTTTGGACATTATCTCTGTTTACCAAAGAAATTCTGAAAAAATAAGTATCCTTTACCCTATTAAACAGATGAAGAGCCGATAATTCACTTGGTTAACAGCAACCACATCTAGATCCTGGGTGTTAAGCATTTATTTAAATTTAGCCATGAGTCCCCTGTTCAGTATTTACATAATTGGCAATAATACATTTCTAATGATCTGGGATTTAGACTAATAGATTGTATGTTTTTGGTTTTTAATTATTTCTCCACAGGATGGGAATAACTTGTATGGTGCACAAACCTTCTTCCTGTGCCTTGAAGACTCCAGTGGATTTTCCTTTGGAGTGTTTCTGATGAACAGCAATGCCATGGGTAAAGCACTGAAGAAATATTCATGAGAAAGGGCATAGGAGTGACTGTTAGTCCCTTTGTTACAGTATTAAAAGGACTGGGGTCTTTGAGGAATAGCTAGGCCATAGCTCAGGGCTTTGTGTGTTTCCTGATTGTTCCACTCCCACTTCGTTGCCTGTTGACCTGTGTATGAGTGGGGGTAGCAATGCTTGATTGAATTCCTTGAACCACCAGAGACAGAGTGGGGAGCAGAACAGGCAATCTACTGAGATGCACTGCTGAGGGGAGCAACAGGCGGGACAGGATAGGTGGGATCGGTCTGCTGCGCCGTGTGGGGCAGCTCCCTGGTCAGGGATTGAACTCTGGCTGTAAGGCTTATAGGGCTGAGATTTAACCCTTGGGCCACCTGGGAGGCCCTGGTTTACAAACTATCTTATGTCTAAGGAAGATGAGCCTAGAAATGAAGAGTAAACATTGCCATAGCCTCTAAGTGCATGCATGAACCTTATAACTCTTTTTCACATCATTTTACAAAAAGTATCCATTTGCAAAGAAGTAGAAATTAAAAAAATAAAGATCTCAACCTTCACCAATAATATGTGAGAGTCACCATCACCATAGGTGGCCTAAGATGATTCTGAGATACCTAACACTTGAGATGATACAGATTTACACAATTTATGGTAGTTGAAAGGAACCAGAAAACAAGTTGAATCAGAGTTAAAGGGAAAGGTCACAGGATCCCAGATCTATGTGTACCTTGGTCATGTGACTGGAGAGTAGAGTTTGGAGAGCTTCAGGCCTTTACCCGAAATGTGAAGGTTGTAGTCTTGGGTCTGGGCCATGGGAAAAGCACTTCCTATAGTTGTGAATGTCAGAGAAAAACAAATTTTCTTCTGTCCTCTTAGGTTCAGTTGATGGGAGCCCACAAATCAAAATCTAGACAGGTTAGCAAGAGAACGGACATGTGCAACATTCGAGAGTGCTTAGTAAAGGGGAACTCAATGGGTGGTTAGGATTTGGAGCTCATAGACCACCCCAGTGGACAGATGTGAGGGGTGAGGAGAAAGGCACTTAGGCAAGTGACTCCCTAGAAGAGGTAGGAGGATGAGAGGCTCTTAGAGAACAACAAACAGCTAATTTGGAAACATGAATAGTTGGGCGAATAGTTGGACAGCCAACATTCTTGTGAGAAAATTTAATTGTGGTGCTAAGTTATTGTCTCTGAGAAGATGAGCCGCCCTCCCCTCAAGGGGAGGATTTATAAACAACCCAGTGCTTTTGGAGGGTTCTGCTCTTAGGTAGACAGGGGATTTCAGAAACTCAGATGTCTGCAGCTTAAATAGTTTCTATGTCACAGCAGCTTATTCTCAACATCTTCACAAAGTGGGTCTTTTTTTTATTAAGAGTGTTTTCTACATCAGTGAACCCTGACTGGGGTTAGCACACTCCAGCCTCTACGACTGAAACCTGTCACACAGCAAGTGCTTGGGCCCCATGGGCAGTGAGACTTCGAGCGTCCATCCCTTTGAAGAGAATCTGAGCACTAGGATCACTTCGTTCATGTTCAGCTGATTGGTGAACCTCTGACCTGACACGTCATCACGCTCCAGAATGAATTCTCATTTTTCTTCATTTTTACTCACTCCAGAGGTCACCCTCCAGCCCGCCCCAGCTATCACATACCGCATCATTGGGGGCATTTTTGACTTCTACGTGTTCCTGGGAGATACGCCAGAGCAAGTTGTCCAGGAGTATCTGGAGGTAAGCTCACGCCACCATGATGATGGCCAGGGCACCCCAAGGTGCAGGGGTGACGCCTAGCTGTCCCACTAGCTATTGCATGTTGTCCCTGCCACAGGGAAGCCCAGTGGTCTATCTTGTGTGGCTGGGGGAGTTGGTGGCGGGTGCACTGTGGTGGTCATGCCTGGTAGGGTTACCCCAATATTACCTCAGCTAAATATAGATACAAAGTAAATGAAACTGTGAAAGAAAAAATTATGGTGTTATGAACATTTTAAAGGTGGGGAAGGATGAGAACAAAGGGGGATCACAGGGTCTGCAGTGGCGCCGGTGGCCCTCGGGGGGTGCACTACAGGGCCATTGTCTGAGACGGGGGGGCCCCCCTGCACTCACATTACGGAAACAGTGGTGCAACCCGGAGTCACTCAAGAAATATGAAACAAACCACTGGAACATGTAATTCAGAAACATATGCAATGGGTGACATAGACAAATAAGTAATGTAAAGTGATCAAGTACAAGAAATGCAAAAGGAAGACAAATGCATGAGATACAGTGGTGGAAATAAAAATTTAGAATTTGTGCAGTGGTTCCCTTAACTCCCTTTGAATTTATAATTACTCACAAATGAAATTTAGAAAATATCAGTCATGGTTCACGGGTGATTTGATAGTGGGGATTTTATAGAGATTATTATACCTAAGGGGAGAAATCAAACATGATATAAAAATGAACAATGATAGCCCAGAAAAAAATAAAATAATTAAAAAAAATTATTAGTCATATCAGTCATGACTATAGATGGAGTTTGGTTAAAAAAAAAAAAAGAATAAATAAGTTGACTTTGGCCTTAGTGACTTAACTGAAACAGGATGTTGGCAAATTGGTTTTGTGCCCCAAAGCCAATACCAAGAAAAAGTGGCGCATCAGGTTAAAGCTTAGCACTGAGAAGCTAAAGCCACTTCAGCATGATTTCGATCCCTGCCCCGGAGGTGACCACATGGCGCGGCAGACCTCTCCTGACCCGCCCGCTGCTCCCCTCAGCAGTGTGCTTCATCAATCAGCCTGTTCTGCTCCCCACTCTGTCTTGGGTGAAGCCTCTTACCACCCCACACCTCTGGCCTGTACCCCAGTTCTGTGTGCATACATAGATAAATCTTTAAAAAAAAAAAAGAGCTTTTACTGACTCTCACCGCACGTGTTTCAGCTTATCGGACGGCCGGTCCTGCCCTCCTACTGGTCACTGGGATTTCACCTCAGCCGCTACGATTACAAAAGCCTGGACAACATGAAACAAGTCGTGGAGAGAAACCGCAGGGCGCAGCTTCCTTACGTAAGTGAGGCTTACAAAAGCTCCCCCCCACCCCCCCAGAAACGAAGTCCCATGGGGAATAAGAACAACTGCTTACAATGTCGGGAAAAAAGTGAACACATTCAGAGGGCTGATGGACATTATTAAGTGACCATTAAGTGAGTCAGGCTGCATCCCTTTGCATTCGCAAGGGTTTCTGCAAAATGGAAGAAGGAGGGTGGGAATCACCCCCTTCCTTGGGGGGTAGGGGAAAGGGGTGTTTTATGAGGCAGATGATCACCCCTCTCGGGTGCTGATCAGGAGACATCCGATCGATTGTGGTAGGCTCACACTTGGGGGAGTAGCAAGTGTGAATTCTGGGTGGGAAGCCAGTATAAAGGACTCCATCCTAGGCCTGTCTTTTCTGTTTTTAATAAATGCCAAAGAAGACCAGAAGTGGAAGAGAAACAGCAAAATGTGGGGTAGCAGAGTGAAGAAGTGGGAGACACAGCCCCTTCTCTCCTTTTATCTTATGGACGGCGATGGGCGGGTTTTTGTAGTGATTTGCGGTACTTGGCATAGTTTGCTTGTTACCTTGATTTTTTAATCAAGGCAACTAGGCTGGACGAGGTAGTTAACCTGATGTCAGGGCTGGGGTCCGGCTTTGGGGAAAGCAGTGGGTCATTGGTTTCTGAAATGACTTCTGGAAAGAAACGTGAGCTACCAGGGACTCATAAAGACTCCGCTGAGCCCAGCCTGGAGTAGGTGGGGATGGTGAAGAATTGCCAGGGCCACTGGACAACTCATTTAAACAGGGACACTCCCAGGGACTAACGGTGGGCTCTGTGCTCCTTCCAGGACGTTCAGCACGCTGATATTGACTACATGGACAAGAGGAAGGACTTCACGTATGACCCTGTGAATTATAAAGGCTTCCCTGGCTTTGCGGAGGAGCTACACAACCATAGTCAGAAGCTGGTCATCATCGTGGTAGGTGCCACCTCACTGCCCCAGCCAGGCACCTGCCCGCTTGTCTCCACACCCTGCACCCCTCCTTGGCCTCCTACCCCCCCGTATCCTTCTAGCCCCTCTAGTTTACAGCCTGGTCCCTCACTGTTTCCCTTCTCTGTAGGATCCAGCCATCTCCAACGACTCTCCCCAGGGCGACCCCTATGGCCCTTACGACAGGGGCTCCAGTCAGAAGGTCTGGGTGAACACAGCCGACGGCGTGACCCCGCTTGAGGGGCAGGTAACGTTGTGGGGAAACCATCGTGGGGGGCGCATGGCCCCCGATGTTTTCCATCGTCGGATGCCTCACCTGGGCTGCAGATGAACCTACCCTTATCTTTCATCCCACATGTCTGTTGGCATCCTCAGCTTATCTGTCCTCCCAGCCCAGCGAAGTCCCTTTAATAATAGCTGTCCATCCATGTCCTCACCGTCCACAGTCTTCTGGGTGTCGGTGCCCCTGGTTCAGCAGATGACATGTTGCTGGCAAATGCAGCGAATCTGTTTTCTTCCTCTTCCTCTGTTTCTCAGTAGTATTTGACAAGCCTGCCACTTCTTTCTCAAGCTTCTGGTCATCCCAGGTTTCTTTTTAAGATTTATTCATTTATGCCTACAAGAACAGGGGTACAGGTCAGAAGTGTGGGGCTGAGAGGATTCACCAGAAGCAGAGTGGGGAGCAGAATAGGTGGACTGAAATATAGTGCTGAGGGGAGCGGTGGGAAGACAGGAGAGGTCTGCTGCGCCCTGTGGGTCAGTTCCCTGACCGGGGATCAAACTCATGCTGCAGTGACTGGCAATAGCTTCATAGTGCTGCGCTTTTACCCGTTATGGCACCAGGGAGGGCCCTGTCCTAGTTTTCTCTGAAGGTGACGCCTGCTGGTTCACTTCTAAGACCTCTGCTGACCCGTCTGCCTAGTGTCTGAGAGAAGTGGGCAGGAGAGAGGAAGAGAAAGGAATTGTTGTGCAATGTGGCGTTTATACAGTGTTCTCCCTCACCCACTGCCTGAGGCCTGCGAGTGGAGACTGACAGGGCAGTGAACCAGAGCTATAGATAACAAGGACTTGGTTAGCCACTCTTCCCCTACGTAGGTTTAGCCCCGCCCCTCCTGACGTGTGTTTCTCTGCACATCTCAAGCTCACTTTCCTCACTGAGGGGCCCCTGCCGGGAACCCCCATTACCAGGGGTTTTTCTGGATGCTTTCGCAGCACTCTGATCCACTCTGTCCACTCAGTTGACCCTGCTCATCAATTTTCTTTGCCCCTGCAGGTCTGGCCTGGAAAATCTGTGTTTCCTGATTACACCAATCCCATCTGTACTGCTTGGTGGAAAGAAGAATTTGAGCGTTTTCACAAGCAAGTGAATTTTGATGGAATCTGGATTGTGAGTTCTTAACATTTTGATTATTAGCTGACTAGTGTTCAGACTGTGCGTCAATATGGGGCACGAGGGGAAGAGGAGGAGAGTGGGAAGGAAGCAAGAATGTCTCCCCTACTTGGTATCCTAAATCCTTCCCAGTGCATGTAGCTTAGGCTCATGGTAAGATAACAAGGACTTGGTTAGCCACTTTTCCTCTACGTAGGTTTATTAGAGTTGCAAGCAAACACAGAGATGCATTTTTTCAGTCTTCTCCTTTCATAAGTGAATGAGCTGAAATAAGCAGGTCATATACTCCTGACATTGTTGCAACACCAATGAATTGTTGGGCTGTCGGCTCCGTTGGCCACGCTGGACAAGTGGGTCAGAGCCAAAGGCCCCGGGGGTTTGACTGGACTGGCTGCAGGGTGCAGGTGCATCGTGGCCTGTGGAGCACAATGCAACAGGTACTCAGCGTCAGGGAGGGAGCACTGAGCTCCCTTTCCTGAGAGAAATGTAGAAAATTCAAACAATGTGGAGAGCAAAGAAGATGACAAGTCACCCTTCTAGAAGGATACCGAGCAGTGCTGTCGGCCATCTGTATTTTGGTCTGCCTCTTCCCAGACCCTTCCTGTCTCTGCATATGCTTATGCTTATCCGTGTGAATGTGCTGTGTGTGTGTGTGTGTGCATGTGGAAAGAAAGATAGGGTGTGTGAAAGCTGATATTTATGGAATCAGAGTAGTAGAGTTTTTTTTAACGTAATGTATTTGGAGATTTTTTCATTTTAAGTGACTATGGATAGTTATGTATTTTTTTAAAGATTTTTTAAATTTATGCATACAGAGCTGAGATACAGGCCAGAGGTGGAGGGGGGAGGGTGAGAGGCTTCACCAGAGGCAGAGTGGGGAGTAGAACAGGATGACTGATGAGGTACACTGCTGAAGGGAGCAGCAGGCAGGCCAGTAGAGGTCTGACCCATGTGGGTCACCTCCAGGGTGGGGCTGGAACTCGTGCTAAAGTGGCTTTAGCTTCTTAGTGCTGTGCTACCAGAGAGGGCCTGATAGTTATCACTTTTAAAGAATCCTTTTTTTTTTTTTACCTTGGGTTAATTATTTTTAAAGAATTTTAAGAACTTTCCTGATGAAACTTTAAAGGGTAGAGGAGACAGCAACATTTATTTCTTTCCGTATAGCTAAGACCCTCTTTAAAAATGAAATATCTGAACTCATTCTCAGATTCTTCAAAATAAATAAATAAAGTGTGCCATCATACATAATAAGGGAAAATGTTACTTTTCTTAAAGAGTTTTTATTCTTTGTCTTGTAGGATATGAATGAAGTTGCCAACTTTGCTGATGGTTCACTTACAGGATGTTCTAAAAACAATCTGAATAATCCCCCATTCACTCCCAGTAAGTGTTGGTGGCTAGATTAATATGACAATTTGTATTTGATGCTTTATATTCATGAGGTAGATATAAACAAAGGAATTTTTACATGAGCATACTTAGGGAAAGGAAAATTACAGGTAATTAATTAAGGATAATCAAATACCAAAAGAAAACTGAGAAAGAAAATCAAAACACCTCATGCTTTCCTAGGAAAGGCGTACATTCAGAAGGGACAGTCTAGTCCTTCAACATACACCTGAGCTTCTGCTCAGGGGAGGCCCAGAGAAGATTCGAGGCAAAAGCCACGGGCTGGGAGTTAGTGGTCCTCTTTGGTGTGTGCCCCTGTGTGTCAGGACTTACCAGAGAGACAGGTAGCCTGTCCTACAGATGAGGATCAAGCCTGCTGATACTAAGGTGTAGAGAACAGATGTGACCGAGGATGAAGGCCAACCAGCGAGAAGCCATGGCGTGGGAGGTCAGTCAGCCTTGTACTGTGATATTGGTAAGCACTGACTATATTTGACAGCACTGTCCCTTAGGGCATGGCCCTGGGACCAGCCTTTGTTGTAGTTTGAAGAAAGCCAGAGGCTCTCAGATAAGTTGTACCTTACTAAGGTAGGGTTGAGTCACTGGAATTGTAGCATCCAGTGGAGACTTGCTGTCTGGTGGTCTACTTGGAACTGGGGCCGATGAGTCAGAATCAGATGTTGAGGAGCCTGGATGGGAGGTCAACCAGCTTCTGCTTTGTGATAGGAACTTTTTTATCCTCATTAAATTTTGTTTTAACGGGTCTCAAAATTCTGTGACAGGCTTTCGGGCAAGAGGTTTCATTAAAAAGTACAGGTTTTAAAAACGAATAACCTAAAACTGCCACGCAAAAGAAACCAAATGGTCCACAAAACATTCTCCTTGTCTTCTGAAGGCTTTAGGATGCATCCATATCATTATGCAATCTTTTACTGTTGCACTTAAGTGTAATAGTACACTTTTGAGATAAATAGTTCGATAGAAACTTTTTATGTTTCAGAGAGAGGAAAATAATGATAGTAAAATTAATGGTAATTATTAATTGTTGTTCAAGTACAGTATGATTTGGAAAATCAGTCGATAGTGAAACCATGAAAACTATTATAGTAAAGATCCAAAGGTGATTTACACATGAACCAGAGTGGTACGAGAGGAGTGGAAGAGAATCAATGAGTGGGCGAGACATCAGTTGGGCAATCTCCCTTTAAATGCTGGTCAGTGGAGAGAAGCTGGTCAATGGTGAGAAATTGACACCTTCTCAGCCACTAATTTATTCTTGGACCACATAGTTGAGCTAACCTTGAAGAATTCAGGTTCAACCTCAAGTACATCTGTTTCCTCTGCTTCCAGATGCCATCTGTATTCTCATGACAACCCAGGAGGGAGAATGTATATGGGTCAGCCCAGAGAAACTATCCCAAGTGGGTAACTCTGATAGCAGAGAAGCAATAGGATCATTTGTAGGGTGGCCACAATAAGTGCTGACCAGTGAAGCACCCTTAAGTTTCTTTGACCGTCAAGGAGCAGGGAGGCTCTCGCTGACTCATCTCTCTTTTGCCCCAGGAATCCTGGATGGTCTTCTGTACAAACAGACTCTCTGCATGGATGCTGTGCAGTCCTGGGGCAAACAGTATGATGTCCACAGTCTGTACGGCTACAGTATGGCCATCTCCACAGAAGAGTAAGACCACGATTGCTATGGACCTGCTGTAGAGGGAATTTTTGAACTTGCTAGATGCCAGGTGCCAGTGTGCTGTTAGAATTCTGGTCATCATGACTGAATGAAGGAAGAAACTAGCTGGCACACTGGGAAGAAGGAATCTGATAGATTTCTGTGGGATGTGTAAAATGAAAGAATGAGTAAATGAGTGGGTGGAAGGTTGGGAGAAAGAGAAGTAACTTGAGCAACACCAAACAGCTCTTCAGTTTTCAGAGTTTGAGTCCCCTTCTGCACAAGTATAAGGCCCACGTGTTTTTCTCAGGGACACACTATGTAGAGGGTATATAAGGGCTTATTACCTGCAGGTTAACTTGTGCTTTGGAAGTTCAGTAGCACCCTTATTCTACTGTGCTGTCTCCTTTTGCCTGTGGACTCAAGGTCTACAGTGTAGGAAACAAATATTGAGAATTTCATCGACTTACTGTAAATGTCACAACAAAAAGCCAGTCCAAAGCCATGTCACTTGTTAGCAACATCATGGGTATAATTTCAACCTTTTTGAAAGTTATTGAAAAAAATCACAGAGCAAAAGTGTTAAAGTATATGTACAGACTTCTAGTTTTAAAAGTACAGTAATCTATTTATATTTATTTATAAAAATACACATACTTCTAAAATATCTTTTCTTGTTATAAAATTACCACTAAAGCACTTCTAGTGGAAAAAAAAACTACTTGAAAAGAAGTTCCAAAGCCTGTTCATAAGCTCATTTTTGTGCATGTTTAAAATCACATGCAGTGATAAACCAATTATCGATCTTATCCATCCATCCATCCATCCATCCATCCATCCATCCATCCATCCATCCATCCATCCATCCATCTGCACACATGCCTATGTAACAATGAATTTCATCTTTGTTTTCACAAAAATTGTATAATTTTCACGGTTACTTTTGTAGTGATTGGGGATGATGGAGCATGAAAACCATAAGACAAAAAAAAGCCAAACAATACAAAGCAAACTGCATACTTTCAAAAGGTGCAGTCTGCTCCCAAAAGCAACTCTGTCCTTCCTGGGAGACCACTAGAAAGAACAGGGCTACTCACTTCTTTGGCCCTTAGTGCTGTTGCTGTCTCTGGAGCCAAGGCAGGCTGAGGTCTCACACTTACGGCCTGGGTCTCTCTTCCTTTGCAGAGCTGCCAAGACTCTGTTCCCTACTAAGAGAAGCTTCCTTCTAACCCGCTCCACCTTTGCGGGCTCCGGCAAGTTTGCAGCCCATTGGCTAGGGGACAACTCAGCCAAGTGGGAGGACCTTCGGTGGTCCATCCCTGGCATGCTCGAGTTCAACCTTTTCGGCATCCCAATGGTGAGTCCACACCCCAAGCTCTTCTCAAATCTCAGTCTCCAGAGAGCTGCATTCTGTAAGGTTTCAAACCTTAAGATTCCTCTACCTTCCGTGGCTCAGGGACTTAAATCATGAAAGCATGTGCTTCACCTGTACTGTAAGTCTCTGACGCCATGACATTCTTCCACTGCCTTCTAAAGACAGGAAGGGCAGTCTCGAAGTGGCGTCTCTGGAGTCTGTGCATTGCAGTAGAACATGCGTGCAAACAAGCACACGTATCCTTACGTATACAGTTGTAGTTCCCAAACTGAACACACCTGTACATCCAGAGCCTAGATGAGGAAACAGCATTACCGGCACCCTAGAGATGGTCCTGGCACCTTTTCCTTAAATTCAGCACCTGCATTTAAGGAGGCCAAAGCATAAATACAGTAACAGAAACATCGCTTTCCCCAGAGAGCTTAGTAAGAGGAGAATTTACATGGCCAAATGATTATGACAAGTCGGGGAAGTGCCACAAGGAACTTAGAAGCAAATGTTGAGAGAGAACCTGAGAAAGGGCTTATTGACTTAGACAAAAATTGTGAGGAAACAAAAGGGTTCAGGTGTCGGAGA